CTTTATCACCGAGGACGAGGCCAAGAGGGTTGGCCTACGGTGGACCAGACGAGACGGTTGGCTCAAGGCCGTTAACGCTAAGGCACAACCGCTCAACGGTGTAGCACGAGACGCGGAGCTACACTTAGGCACTTGGAAGGGCCAAGTGGATTTTTCGGTAGCACCGATGGATGACTTCAAGGTGGTGCTAGGCATGGATTTCTTCCGCAAGGTAACGGCTATCCCTATGCCTTGTTTCAATTCGGTTTGCATATTAGAAAAGGGAACACCTTGCATGGTGCCGGCCATCAACGGCACCACTAAGGAAGAAAGCACGCCACCAAGGCAACTGTCGACCACACAAGTTGCCAAGGGAGTTCGACGGGGCGAGTCAACATTCTTAGCCGCTTTAAAGGAGTACAAACCGAGAAAGGTGAATGTTGTGGCCGACGCATTACTCGCAGCCATTAGCTCGACAAGGGGGAACTTGGCCGACATGATCCGAGAAGGGCTCGAACATGATCCCATGGCCAAGGAGCTAATCCGACTCGTCAAGGAGGGCAAGACGAGGCAATTTTGGGTAGAGGACGGCCTGCTCTACACGAAGGGGCAGCGACTCTTCGTTCCGAAGTGGGGCAGCTTGAGGAAGGACCTCATAAGGGAATGCCACGACACCAAGTGGGCGGGGCATCCGGGCCAAAGGCGGACAATGGCGTTGCTCGAGACGGCCTACTTTTGGCCTCACATGCGGGACAGTGTCGATGCATACGTGAAGACTTGCCTTGTGTGCCAACAAGACAAGGTGGAGAATAAACAACCGGCAGGGTTACTTGAGCCACTCCCAATCCCCGAGCGACCATGGGAGTCGATCTCATTGGATTTCATTAGTGCCTTGCCGAAGTCCGAGGGGGCCGGATCTATCATGGTGGTGATAGATCGTTTTTCAAAATATGGGACGTTCATAGCTTGCCCGAGGGATTGCACCGCGGAGGAGGCAGCCCGGTTCTTTTTCAAGAACGTCGTCAAGTATTGGGGACTACCGAGGAACATCATAAGCGACCGAGACCCACGCTTCACGGGGCGATTGTGGACGGAGCTTTTCAAGCTTTTGGGATCCGAACTTTGCTTCTCGACGAGTTTTCACCCCCAAACCGACGGGCAAACGGAGAGAGTGAACGCCCTACTCGAGTGCTACTTACGGCACTTCGTGGGAGCCAATCAAAAAGATTGGGCGAAGCTCCTCGACGTGGCTCAATTTTCCTACAACTTGCAACGGAGTGAAGCCACGGGGAGGAGTCCATTCGAGCTTGCAACGGGACAACAGCCACTTACGCCACATGCTTTGGCTACGGCAACCGACGGACGGAGTCCCGGAGCATTTAAGATGGCTAAGTCGTGGGAGGAACAAGCCGATTTAGCCCGAGCATGCCTTGAGAAGGCTAGGCGACGAATGAAGAAATGGGCGGACGACAAACGGTGACCACGGGAATTCGACGTTGGGGCCCAAGTGATGGTGAAACTATTGCCCCAACAATTCAAGGCATTGAGGAGCATGCACAAGGGGCTTGTGCGGAGGTACGAAGGACCATTCCCGGTGATCGCCAAAGTCGGTAAAGTTTCGTATCGTCTAGAACTTCCAAGTTCTTTGAAAATTCACCCGGTCTTCCATGTGAGTATGTTGAAGCCTTATCACGAAGACAAGGAAGACCCGAGCCGAGGAGAGTCGCACCGAGCACCACCCATCATGACTAAGTCATACGATAAGGAGATCGAGGAAGTGCTCGGCCGACAATTGAAGCGACGTAGGGGAGTTCCACCGAGTATTCAATACCTCATCAAATGGAAGGGATTACCCGAGTCTGAGGCGACATGGGAGACGAAGGAAGACTTGTGGCAATTTCAAGATCGTCTCCACTTGTTCGAGGCAACGAGGACGTCGCCGGATTAGGCGGGGGAGGATGTCACGGCCCGCGAGTTTTGACCCAACCCCTTGCCGATTTCCCTTGGGTTGGGGAGGTTATGAAGAGTCCAAGATTTAGCCCAAGTAGGGTTAGGCCCAAGTTGGCCCAATTGTATAGTGGTAGGTAGAATCATTTTTGGTAGGTAGAGGTAGGTGGTGGTAGGTAGAGACAATCAAGGGATTGCTCCACTCCCATCCGTTAGATCATATCGATCTCCACCGTCCATTGAGGAGGTGGTCTTGTATAAATAGAGGTAGGGTCCTCATTTGTAATCATCCAACATTCACCAACAAATCCAATAAAGTATTCTTCTACCAACTCTCTTGTCTTTTACTTTCTTCTCTCGTTTTTCCATCACTTAAGTATTCGCAACACAATTCGGGAGAGGCTGACTTAGCTATCGCGAGGGGCGAGAAGGAGCTAAGGCCGCACGGTTCTTTGTTAAGGGAACAAGTCCGTGACATGCCGGAGGGTTTGTTTGAAGAGGATTTGGAGAATTCCTGTACGTTACTGCTACTGTGGCTAGCTGCATGCAAACTAAAAGCATATATATATATATATATATATATATATATATATATATATATTATTGAAACTAGATTAATTATATCTAAATGTAATGCAATATTTTCGGCTTCCTTCGAATAATTCTTACGCTTATTTTGTATAATACAAAATTCCGACTCTATCACTTATTTCTTGTTTGTTATATAGTACGTGTTCATGGTTCTGAAACTCTTAGATTTACGATTTGTTTCAGCGATTCGTTTAGACCATCTTGAGTTTTTCTATATGAATCTTAAGAAGAAATTCAATTCCACACGAGTCTATCATTTTTTTACGTTTCGAAACTTGTGTACTTTACAAACAAACCCTTGAGGTATGTCTAAATCACGAAAATCTCCATCTTGTTTGTGAAATTACAGTTATCTTTAGGTATATCGATCACCGTCAAACAATTTCCCTTTACACGTCAGTATTAACATAAATCTTTTACGCTCCATTTGGATTGAAATTTTTGGTTTCGAGGAAGGATTTGAAATGACTTCAAATTGGAGTCATTTGAATTAATTGACACGAATGGTTAGATTCTATGAATATTCCTTAAGATATTCTAATTTTATCCTTACAACTTATAGGGGTTTAGTTGCAAGATTGTTAATTTATTAGGGCGTTAATTCTAATTAATACTTGTTGGATTGTATAAACTTCATTTATTTTAGTTTGCAAACAAGAATGGGATTCTTGTAATTTAGATATACCTAATTTATGCATTTTTATGTTAAACCTAAATTTTAGCATGTTATTTGAGACAAATCAATCAATTAAACATAATATATACTTTTTTTTTATCAATAAATGAGGAAAAACTGAATTGAACTATAAAGTCTTCATAAAAGGCTTCACTTTAACATAACCTCATTTTTTCCTTGAGTAAAAGTTAAAACATCTCTTACATAAAATAATTATATCCTAATTTATAATATTCTATGCATAAAATTATTTTATTCCTTCATAGTAATTACCTATAAAATTCAACATATGGTATAGGACACTTAATAATTTTATCGAATAATAATATTTAAGTGTTTTTATTCACAATCGACGCGCGAGTACGGTAGCACGTCTCTACAATTTGACAACACACTAAAACTAATTCACTTATAAATCACCTAAATTCCGTAGCAATCGATTTGCCCAATCGTCCTCTACCGAAATTCTAACACCAAACGACGATCCGATGGCACATTTGTCGTACCGTACCGAAATATTTTGTTAGGGTAAATGGTAATCCATGTTATAGAGAGAAACTGCAGGTAGAGAGATAATAATTAGGGTAAATTACACCCACACTCCTGAGGTATGCTTAAATAACTTTAAGGTCCCTGATGTATCGATAATTACACTCACCCCCTTGAAACGTAGTTATAAACTCTAATTGGATAATGCATTGGATAAGTTATTACGATATAGTTCTAACGGACTATTAGTTTCAGGAAGTTGTGGAGACAACAAAGAGTTATGGGTGATTTAAAAAATATTGGGAAACCATGTCACCCCGTAACTCTACATAACTCTATGTTATCTCCACCACTAGCTAAAAGTAATAGTCCATTAGAACCGTAATAGAATAATGTATCCAATGCATTATCCCGTTAGAGTTTCTAACTCCGTTTTAGGGGGTGAGTGTAATTATCGATACCACGAGGACCTTAAAATTATTTAAGCATACCTCAGAGATTTGGGTGTAATTTACCCTAAAAATTAAGTAGGGTATGTATCCAGTTTGCATCAATCAAAGTCTGATTTTGTTTTTTACTGAAAAGTTTGTGGAAGGAAATAAGCTGGAAATTGTTTGTCTGAGTCTTCTTCTTCATTCTCCCCGAAAGACTAGCGGCTAGACTTCATTCACTCAAAGACTTTATTTTATGGATAAATTACACCCACACACCCCTGTTGTATACTAAAATGACTTTAAGATCCTTGTAGTTATTGGTAATTACAGTTACACCCCTAAAACAATTATCGGAACCAAGATTTCATGTTCTGGTGACCAATATGCACTGTATTTGTTTTCCGCGGGGACGTTAATGCTACCATAAACGAAAATTTATAAATTTTATATAAAATAATAAGGATTCAAGAAATGTTGAGGGAACCATTTCACCTCCTAGCTCTATGTTGTCTCCACTACTTCATGAAACTAATAGTCCGTTGTAATCCTAACTGAATAACTTATTCAATTCATTATTCCGTTAGAGCTTTTAACAATGGTTCAGGGGGTCATTGTAATTACTGATACTATAGGGACCTTAACGTTATTTTAGCATACCTTTGGGGTGTAGGTGTAATTTACCCTTATTTTTTAATTATTATTATTATTATTATTATTATTATTATTATTATTATTATTATTATTATTATTATTATTATTATTATTATTATTATTATTATTATTATTATTATTATTATTATTATTATTATTATTATTATTATTATTATTATTATTATTATTATTATTATTATTTTATTTATTTTTTCTTTTTTTTTTGAGGGATACAAAGACTTTTCTAATCCCATATTTACATTGTGTGTCTGAATTTTGATACTTCACTAAAAAAAAAAAAAAAAAAAAGGAAAAACTTTGAACCAGCAAACAGTTTCTTGACATTCTTCTTTTTTCTTGTCCTAAATCAAGATTTTAGCTCTTCAGAGCATTATGAACTTAAGTCGAGGAATAAAAATGTTGGTGAAAAGAGGAAATTAATGACGACGAACTCACAGTTTTAATCGACAAGATGGTCGACGACTTGTCTTCAACGTCGTCAAGGGCAATTCCGTCAATTCACAGGGTCAGAGACAATCTCCGAAGCATCAACGAGAAGGCCTACGATCCGATGACCGTGGCGATAGGACCGATCCACCGCGACAAGCCCCACCTTAAGAGCATGGACCACCAGAAGAAAAAGTACCTCAAGCTCTTTCTCGACTCCATGGGAGAGACGAGCGTGGATATATACGTGAGAGAGATACGTGGCTTGGAAGAAAGAGCAAGTCGATGTTATGCAGAGGAGACACTAATCGGATTAGAAAAAGACGATTTCGTCCTCATGTTGCTTCTCGACGGCATTTTCATCCTCGAATTCTTTCGCAGGTATATATGGGTGGCAATTGGAACGGAGTTTTCGGTTTGACGCCTATCTTGATCCGAAATTTTCCAATTTTTGGAACATTTTTTTTTTCCTTTTGAAATCGGATTTCAATGTTTCCTAGTTATGGATTGGAATTGGAATATGTATATGAGATTCCGATTTTCGATCTGATTTTTAATTCCACTTCAAAAAAATGCACTTAGAATATGAACATTTTATGCAATTTATAGATTAGGTAACAAAAATATGGTATTTATGAAATTCGACGATTTCCATTTGAAAACTTTCGATTTTGGAGCAATTTTCTTCACTGCAATTTCTGATTTTTTTTTACATTGGAATCAGTTTCTCCGAATTTTCTTCATCTGAATTGGAATATTATGAGATTCCCATTTCCGATTTGGTATAAATTTGAAAAACTCCACTTTTTATTTTTTCTGAAAATTACACTTATACTATGAATATAATAATACATTTTACAGTTTAGATAAGTAACAATTGGAATTTCCAAAATCTGCTGGTTTTTATCGGAAATTTTCGATTTTGGAACAAGTTTTTCCATTACAATTTCCAAAAAAAAAAAATTAATTATGTTGAACAAAATTGGAACTATAAGTTTTTCACTTACGAAAAAAATGAGTATTTTTTTCGAAATTGTTAATTTAATTTGATCCGTCCAATTTCCACCCATACACAGGTACAATGAAGACGACGAACGGAAACTAACGAACAAGGAAAAGGACAATGACGTAATTTTCCGGTTCGGAAACGTTAAAAACTACGTGCTTAACGACCTCGTGTTGTTCGAGAATCAAATCCCGTTTTTCGTCCTCGAAAAGCTTCTCCAACTATCAAAGACCCGCGACAAAAACGAAGTAGCCGATTTGTTCTGGCCTTTAGTATTAACAAGTGCACAAAAATCATTACAAGATTGTAGTATTACGAATAGTAATAATCCTCCTCCACATCTCCTTGGCTTCGTACACTACGTCGAAAGTTTGCAGTTTTCTCCGAATCTTTACGCAAATAACGAAATGAAGAACATAAACTCCGCCACGGAGCTGAACGAAGCGGGTATTATCTTCAAGAAGAGAGAAGACGAGGGTAGTTTCTTGGACATCAAATTCGAAAAAAATAAAATTTACGTTCCGATTTTGGCGATCGCGGATTTAACGGAGTCCAATTGGAGAAACTTAATTGCGTACGAGCACTACCTCCCGTGCAGGAATCAGAGGAAGTTAACGGATTACATGTATTTCATGCATTGTTTGATCCACGACCCGAGGGACGCTAAGCTGCTGCGGCGGTGCGGGGTTATAAGCACGTGGGCCGGGGGGATGAGATGGTGTACCGGTTGATCAAACAAATGGGGGATAATGTACAACCTTCGGACATGTTTTCGTACAACGATGTTTTTGAGGGAGTTAATCGTCATTGTACGAAACGGAAGAACACGTGGATGGCTGTATTGAGACGGGATTATTTCGATAGCCCGTGGAAAGTTATTTCACTCGTTGCCGGTTTTGTGTTGCTTGGAGTTGGTATAGTTCAAATGGTGTTCGCCATTCTTTCATATTGTAAGTTGTTATTAATTACCTAATTAACATGCAATTATTAATATTGTTATAATTTCTATTATTGATATTGATTTTAATTTATAGAATTATTGATATTTGAAGCATTTTTTTTTTAATCTTTGGTTTTTGCAGACCAGGATCCCCAAAAGCACAAGTGATTGGTGCATGAAAAGCAAGCTGTAGCTAAAATTGAGGAATGAAAGTTTACTTCCGGGTGCAAATCGGACGGATTCGAATTAACACTTTTGGAAAGAATTACAATTTTTTTTGGGAAGCAAAAAACTAATTTGATTTGTTCAAAAAAAAAAAAAAATCAGTAAAATCAGACATTCCGATTACGAATTTGTAATGAAAAGAACCTGTTCCAAATTTGAAAATATTATGATCAAAATTGACGGAAAAAAAATCATGTTATTCCTATAATATATAATAAAAATACATCTTATATATAAAAGAAAGAAACGCTAGGGCAACCCTAAGAAACTCTAATGTTATATTTGTAACTTTGTTTTTTCAATTTTTATCAAATTTTTATCTCCTTAATATTATTTTAAATATTATTTTCGAATTGTATCATATTTGTATCCCCTAAATATTATTTTAAATATTACTTTTTATTTTTATCATATTTTTGTCTCCTAATTATTATTTTTTATGTTTATCAAATTTTTATCTCCTAAATATTATTATAAATAATAATTTTTAACTTTATCAAATTTCTATCTCATAAATATAATTTTAAATATAATTTTCAACTTTTAGCAAATTTTTATCTCCTAAATATTATCTTCGAATTTTATCATATTTATATCTCCTAAATAATATCTTAAATATTTGTTTCGAGTTTTATCATGTTTTTATTAGTTTTTTATCTCCTAAATATTATTTTCGATTTTTATCAGATTTTTTGTCTCCTAAATATTATTTTGATTTTTATCAAATTTTACTATCCTAAATATTATTTTAAATAATATTTTTGATTTTAATTATATTTTATCTCCTAAATATTATTCTAATTATTTTTTTCGTATTTTATCAACTTTAATCTCATTAACATTATTTTAAATATTATTTTCGATTTTATCACATTTTTATCTCCTAACGATTATTTTAAATTTTATTTTCGATTTTTATCAGATTTTTATCTCCTAAATATATTTTTTTATCAAATTTTTATCTCCTAATTATTATTTTAAATATTATTATCGATTTTCATCAAATTTTTATCTCCTAGATAGCTTATATATAAAAGAAAGAAACGCTAGGGCAACCCTAAGAAACCCTAATGTCATATTTGTAACTTTGTTTTGTCAATTTTTATCAAATTTTTATCTCCTTAATATTATTTTAAATATTATTTTCGAATTGTATCATATTTGTATCCCCTAAATATTATTTTAAATATTACTTTTTATTTTTATCAGATTTTTGTCTCCTAATTATTATTTTTTATTTTTATCAAATTTTTATCTCCTAAATATTATTATAAATAATAATTTTTAATTTTATCAAATTTCTATCTCCTAAATGTAATTTTAAATATAACAACTTTTAGCAGATTTTTATCTCCTAATTATTAATTTCGAATTTTATCAAATTTATATCTCCTAAATAATATTTTAAATACTTTTTTCGAGTTTTATCATGTTTTTATTGGTTTTTTATCTCCTAAATATTATTTTCGATTTTTATCAGATTTTTGTCTCCTAATTATTATTTTCGATTTGTATCAATTTTTTATCCCCTAAATATTATTTTAAATGATATTTTTGATTGTAATCATATTTTATCTCCTAAATATTATTCTAATTATTATTTTCGTATTCTATCAACTTTTATCTCATTAACATTATTTGAAATATTATTTTCGATTTTTATCATATTTTTATCTCCTAACTATTAATTTAAAGGGTAAATTACACTCACACCCCTGAGGTAAGCTTAAATAACTGTAAGGTCCTTGTGGTATCGATAATTACACTCACCTCCCTGAAAGGTACTTAAAAACCCTAACGGGATAATGTATTGGATACATTATTTCCGATAGGGTTCTAATGGACTATTGGTTTCAGGAAGTGGTGAAGACAACAAAA